CTGTGCGCTGGGAACGGGAATGGTGGGCAGGTCTGGGGGCGAGGGGGGGATCACGGGGCCGGCGGGCGGGCTGCGTCCATGCAGCGCCTGGCTGGGTCTGGAGCAGGGCTGTGGTGCACAGATGGAAGAGTAATTAAGAATAATAAAAGGAAAGAGACTTGGATTCGCTACAGTCTCAGCACATTAATTGTGCTTTGGGGCCCAAATCATAACCGAGTCCTGCTAGAGGGAATCCAGAAGAGAAACCAAACGTCTCGCTCGGTCCAAAGCTGACCATTTAAGAGACCCTTGCCTTTATCTGCTGCCAGGTATTACTTCCAGAGCCTCCCGTCTGCCAAAACCCAAGTTCTCGTTTGAAATATTTTTAGGGGAGGAAGAAAAGCGACGGTGACACTGGGCGTGCTGGCGGCGGGGAGGCAGAGTGCGATGCACCGGGGCCAGCACGCGGCCCCGCTTGCTGCTGCAGGTGGGAGCAGGGGGTGGTTGGGGTTCCCAGGGGTCTCCTCCCCGCGGAGGTGTCTGTCCCAGTGGGCTGGGACACTGGGCTGGGACCCGGCGTTTCGCTGGTCCCCGGGGACAGGGATGAGTCGTGCCAGCAAGCGGAGGTCCTGCCTGCGCTAACATGCAGGTTGAGCATCTCTTCTAAATTGACAAGCAATTACATGGTTAATGGTATCAATGTTAAATCCTCATCACTCAGCAGCCTGAGGCTTAATGCTTCATTAAGGCAAAGGCATCTAATAGCTCTCCGGGCTGGAAGCTGCCTTTTCCTTAAGCCTGAGTAGAAGTCATCTGTCCAGAGGCTGCTTTTGCTCTCCCGGTCCTACAGCCAAACCATAAGTCCCCCCAAAATGGACGGGAGGCAGGAAAGCGCTCCCGTACGCTCCATGCTGCCGGGGCCGCTGGCCGGGTCAAGCCTTGCTGATGCGGTGGAGCTGCACGGTGCAAAGGGGGCGTGCGGGGAGCGTGGCCGTCGTTTGGGACCTGCCATTTCCCCTGGCCCTGGCTGTCTCCCTTCCCTGCCCGCCTTCGTTCATCATTTTACAGCTCTGCCTCGCGCTGCCGCCCTGCGCCCACCTCTCCCCGGGCTCAGGGCTGCCTCTCGCCTCTCCTTGCAGCCCACCGTTGTGCCTGTGTATTTAACCTTCCCCCCTGCCTTGCCCTGCGTTTATCGCTGCTGAATTCCATCCGCTGTTGAGGATCGGTGGGA